TATTATACTGCATTCCCCTAAAAACAATCCAAAATGAAAATCCACAAATGTTGATCTGTGCTGTACAACATTAGTTAGGTTAGGTCGCTTTATTCGTACCCGTAGGTAAATTTGCTTTGCAGATTTGAGAGACAGGTTCCACATTTCACATTTCATTCATCTACAAAACACATAAAATCACAATTACAAAATAAAGTGTTACAGTGCTCCAGTGCAGAATGGTTTGTTCCATAAACAACCAATTAAAATCATCCATCACGCTTGGCTAAAAACACAATAAATAAATCTTAAATATGGTAAAAACACACAATCTTAGATAAATAGATTACAATTTATTCATAAGTACGATAGCAGCCGGAACGAAGCTCCTTTTAAAACGATTCGTTCTAGATCTTGGGACTAAAAGCCTCTGACCAGAGTAGGGATGGGCATGATTAGTCGATTAATCGATAAGTGATCATTAAGAATTTCATCGATTATGTAAATTTTAATCGACAAACTGAATGCAGGTTGCTGTGCGTAGTGTGGCCAAACAGGGGTCCATACATGTGTCTCTCTGCACTCGGAAGGAGCGAGCAAACACAGACAGTCAGTCCGCCTGCAACGTACCGAAGTGCATATGCGTATTTAATGATGACTTGTACAAGAAATTCCACACTTTCTGTTGCGGTCGGGACAAGTGTGAGTCCATGTGCACAGTGTATAAAGCAGCACATATGTTTCTGTGTCCAGTGGGAAAAAGTTTTTCCAGATGAGAGTCGCTCAATGTCGATGATGAGGCCCCGCCCCCCTCCCCCCGTACGGTGTCCTGGGTTTGACAAACACAAATCTGGTCACACTAACCTGTATTCACCTGAGTCATGTCTTTTAATCCAACAGCAGTTGGCCCCATCAGCGACACAAGAGCTGTAGTTTTATCTTCACTTAGTTTATGCAAATTAGCGATGTGGTTTTAAGTTTTGTTTCTGTGAGATTTGAACAAAACTGAATTAAACACATTATAATGTCAAACGGGCTGATGTGGCTCTAGAGTGGTTACGGTTTATTTGTCGTAAAGTTGAATTTATTTATGCAGATTAGGAGTGCAGATAGTAATAATAATGATGATCATTTTAATATAAAAACGTTAATGATTAATCGATAAAGTCAATAAAAAGAAGTCTTGCATGCGTTCCAATCTCGTCTAAATTCTTAAAGAGTAAGTGGAGTAAAGTTACTGTGGCATCCTCTACTCTCTTTGAGGCCTATAGGCGAACTGCATGGGGTCAAGCGCACTCAGTTTTCCTCAAAATTTCTGACCTTACCAGTTTTTCAAAGTTTTTCATAACCATGGACGTTAGTGCAACAGGCCTAAAGTCATTAAGGTTTTTGGGTCTGCTCGTCTTAGGAACTGGGACAATTACTGAGTCATTTCAGATTAATAATATAATGGCGCAGACTGATATTGCCTTTAAAAGCTTGCTGAAAGTCTCAGAGCCATTCTCATTCCCAGTCCCTGATTCATCCACTGCCCCCCTCGCTGATGGTCACATGTTTTTGTAGCCACAGCTGCAATATATACAATGACGCGTCTTGCTTAAGGACATAACAAAAGCATGAACTGTTGGGTTTCTAACTGCCAACCTGTGAAATGACAGAACTACCTGAGCCAGTGTCTTTAGTTTTACTTATTTATTTATTTATTTATTTATTATTATTTATTTTTTACTTATTACTAGTTTGAGTGTGTAATATAGACCCTTCAAACTCTTAAGTCGGCCTAAAAGTGAAGTGCTTTTTTAGACTTAGAAAAACTTTATTGCTCCACAAGGGAAATTATTTGGACGCAGTAGCTCACATATCACAATATTACACCTCTAATCTAACACATTGAGCTTTCTTTTGCATTTTTCAGAGATTTTACATTAAACTATTTAAACTATTTACAAGTGCGGAAAAAGAGTCACTATTATTACTAGCTTAGTAACATAACTTCATCATGCTGCAAAAATACAACAACACTAGTGAGGAATTTAAGAATATCAACAGTGGTAACAGACAGCAGTAAAATTAAGAGCTACTCTATATATACTGCAGGACATTGCATGTCCTGCAATAAAACGCACATCGAGGAAACAGGGAGAGCGATCAGTCCACGAAAAAAGGAACAGAGACAGAAGGAAACAGCGAAGGTGAAACACACCTGAAAAACACAGAACAAGAACAACTCAAATCTGACATTTGTGACACTGTAAAAGAGAGAAGCACATTCTGGACTGGGACAAGCAAACATCACTGAGACAGAGGAAAACAAACATCGTCTCTGGATTAAAGAGGAAATTAAAATACAGAAATGTGTCCACGGGACGATAAACCGGGACGAGGGGCTTTTTTTCCTCTCATACACCTGGGATACTGTCGGACCAGAGCGGGACCAGGGCGGGACCAGGGCGGGACCAGAGCGGGACCAGGGCGGGACCAGGGCGGGACCAGGGCGGGACCAGGGCGGGACCAGAGCGGGACCAGGCGGGACCAGGGCGGGACCAGGGCGGGACCAGGGCGGACTCCGAGCTTTGACTCTGAGCCTCCATGGGTCTGAGCCTCAGCTTCGAGCTCCGGCCCTGCCGTGGGCTCTGAGCCTCCGGTCTGGTCCCGGTCTCAGTTCCGGTCTCAGTCCCGGTCTGGTCCCGGACCTGGATCAGTCCTGGTTCAGTCCGTATGCAGTGCAAAAGTCCGGCATTGCAGTCACAGAAGTCTCGTAAACGGGAAACGGCCGTTGTCCATTGAAGAAAACAGTTGTTTTTTCATTTTCTTATTTTTGGTTTTATATTGAAAAACGAATGAACGAATGACACACGGATTTATGGGTATATTTTTAAAATCCAATTTTATGGATAAATAATTTGCAAAGCTCGTTTCTGTAAAATAATCAGTGGATGAAGTGTACATTGTCTAGTATGGAGTTTCCATGATAATTTACTGTCTATTATAACTCCCAGGAATTTATTTTCATTTACATTTTCTATTTGGACACCTTCAGTCATAATTACAATGATAACATTAACTTGACTTTCTCGTTCATAAAGTTTGAGCTGATAAATCTGTTCACATAGAAGAATCCTGATATAGTTTGTTGATCACGGCATCAGATAATCGTGACTAACCCGAAATCACGATCTTCCTTCTCACGACTTTGAGTCCGGTCGGTTTGATTCGGTGACGTCCCAGTCCACACCCTGAGGACTTGCTGGAGTAGAAGTCGAGTTTGACCACTGACATGTAAACAGCTCCAAACAGGAAGTGCACAGGATGTCACCGTCAGACCCTGAATGACCAGCGGAAAAAGAACAATGTCTGAATCGGACAATGAGATCAGAGGCCAAACATGAGGGATTAAACATAGACTCTTATCTGATGCTGGCTGTAACAGAAGCATGCTCACAGGACTGGAAACAGAACCTGAAAATGCTCATGGATTATGCTCATATTAGAACGAGAACAGGGATGTCAGAAATATAAACACCAGACACTAATGCACACTAAAACAAATCAAAACTGCATACTCATTTGTGTGGGTACAGTAGGGCGGTCCATCAAAAAAAAAAAGAAGTTTCAGATCACCTCGATTAGAACCCTGCATTAAGTTTAAGCATCCAAAAGAAGATTTAGGAAGACATTTGGAAGAAAAAGAAAATGTTTTAGAAGTTGCTCAAGCTGGATGTTGAAGTTTTGAAGCTCCTGCAGATGATTTGGTTTTCCTTAAGAAGTTTCACAGTCTGAACATTCATTTGTGAAGAAAGCACCTGAACAGCTTTGGGCGACATCTTTGCTCCTTGAGTGAAGAAATGTTTGGCCTGATATTCTTCACTCCAGTGTGACAGAAGAACAGAAGAAGCTGATGCTTCACAATATTATGGAAAAAGAAGGTTCAGAGGTTCCACCAAAGCGACGTGATGCTCTGAATCAATCAGATTATGAAGAGAAGCAGATCAGGGATTTTGTCTCCACCAGCATGTATTTTTTCAAAGCTCTTGATCTGCCAAAAACATTTTTGAACAGTTCTCCAGCAGACTGGGCTGATGATGCAGACTTTCAGAAGCTGATAAAACTCTGCATTGCATTCCAGGAAAGTTTTAATGATGATGCTGAAAGGAGGTGAAGCTTATTTAAGATTTTAACTGTAACTGAACAAAGAATGAAGATCAGAAACAGGATCTACTGCAGGAGTCAAAGACACAGGAGCATCTTTAGTGACGCCAACAAAGACACAGTGGAGCTGGACTTTATAAATCTTTTTTATGCAAGTTTTAGTTTGTGTTTGCGGAGTAAAACGACAAATTATTGGAATAGGCCTTATTTATTTGGTTCTATGGTATAGAATAGGTCCTATAGGTGCAATTTTCCAGTGTCTTGAGGAACCTCTAAATATGAATTTGCATAATATGGACCTAAATCTTTTGGCCAGATATGGAACCAAATGCAGGGTTCTAATCTAGAGAATCTGAAATGTTTTTGGACCATCCTACAGATACTGAAAAAGTAGAACACGTTTAGACCTTCACTGAATTGTTTAATCACAGTGTGATAATTGCACTGAAAGCATAGTCACATGTATCAGATCATGATTTGACTTTCATGAGTCAGAGATTTTTGTGGTATCAAATATAAAGTGTTTTTTTAGTATGGAGTTTGAAATATTGCACTAGTCATGGTCCAGGATGAACTAAATTATTGACCTGCTAGACCCACTTGGTGTTGCCATAATTTTTGTACATTTGGCTGCATATAGTTGGCCTATTTTAATTGAATTCTGAGTCACTCCTATATATTAATTAAATACAGGACTTGTGTAATTCAGTTGTGCATTCTGTGCATGACAACACAGTGATTACAAGTCTTAGCACCGCTCTGCGGTCAATACTCGCCCGGGTTTGATGGATTAAAGTCGCATTAAATCTTGTGTTGGTGCGGTCCCACTGGGAACAGCCTCTCGGCGTGGCTTCCAAACAAATCAATTGGAATTCTGGACTGAGGCATTTGCGCGGCCTTGAGGGGAACACGTAACGTTTGGCATGTTAGAAATTAGTGATGATTTGTTAATATGAAGTTTTACGGAAGAGTCTATCGTTAAAATACGCAGTGTAAAATCTTCGTAATGTTATAATTGTAAAATTGCTGTAATTTAGGATGCTTAATTAATAAGTTGTGGTGTGCTCCCTCCCTGAGCTTTGGTACGGTCCCAGCCAAACTGCTAGGGACGCGGCTCATTCCTACACCGAGTCTGTTCGGTCTGCTCCGACTTTTGGGTTTTTTGGATCAACTTTTCCCAAACCGTGGTCTTTTTACGCTCCAGATCCTCTCCGGTGTTTTTAGCGGCAGCCGAACGCGGCGGACACAGTTTAGTTTGGTCTTCTGTTCAGTGTTTGGAGTTGGGGTCCAGTTCAAAGTGCGTGATGCCTGTGAACGGCGGGGGGCTGCTGTCCCTCCGGTACGCCACCCGGCTCTTCTCTGTGAGTCCAAACACACACACACACACACGCACACACACGCTCTGCTCCTGTCGTGCGTACGCGCTCGCGGACACTTGTGCTCAGTTCGGGTGAGTTTTAATGGCGCTCTCCGTCAGTGCGCGCTCCAGCCTGTTGCACCTGCCGCGAGCGAGCTCCACGCGCGTGCACCGCTCAACCACGCGCGTGCACGCACTCCAAGATGATTTTCACTAAATTCAGTTTATTTATTATTTATACGTGAAACTTTTCCTCTACTTTTCATCAGATGTTGTGTCCTGATATCGACAACCTGAAATAAAGAGACGTGAACCACTTTTATGACTGTTACTTTTACTACTACTACTACTACTACTGCTGCTGCTACTACTACTACTGCTACTACTACTGCTACTACTACTACTGCTGCTACTACTACTACTACTACTGCTGTTACTACTACTACTACTACTGCTGTTACTACTACTACTACTGCTGCTACTACTACTACTGCTGCTGCTACTGCTGCTGCTACTACTGCTGCTGCTACTGCTACTACTACTACTACTGCTGACTACTACTACTACTACTACTACTACTACTACTACTACTACTACTACTACTACTACTACTACTACTACTACTACTACTACTACTACTACTACTACTACTACTACTACTACTACTGCTACTACTACTACTACTACTGCTACTACTGCTACTACTACTACTACTACTACTATACTACTACTACTACTGCTACTACTACTACTACTACTACTACTACTACTTCTACTACTGCTACTACTACTACTACTACTACTACTACTACTACTACTACTTACTACTACTACTACTACTACTACTACTACTACTACTACTGCTACTACTACTACTACTACTACTACTACTACTACTACTACTACTACTACTACTACTACTACTACTACTACTACTACTACTACTACTACTACTACTACTACTACTACTACTACTACTACTACTACTACTACTACTACTACTACTACTACACTACTACTACTACTACTACACTACTACTACTACTACTACTACTACTACACTACTACTACTACTACTACTACTACTACTACTACTACTACTACTACTACTACTACTACTACTACTACTACTACTACTACTACTACTATTACTTTGTTACATATCCTACTATTAGCAGTGTTGGGAAGTACCTGAACACACGAACTGAGAAATCACATTTTGAGTACTTGTGTTCCAGTACAGTTACTTTTTGATTTGGCAGTATTCAGAAATGCAGAGTGCAGTACTGTGGAGTGTGGTGCATGTATCTGAACATGTCACACACACATGTACATGCAGTGTTCAGTATGCTGTGACTGAATACAGTTTAAGAGTATGCTGAATGATAAAAGCTGTTAGGAGACTAAGTAGCTGAATGTTGAGTGTGTTTTAAACTGTATTCAGTAGGCCTACTTCATGGGGAAAAAACAACAAAACTTAACTCTACCAATTTCTCCAAAACGTGAGTAAAGCAGTGTTTCCCACAGAACATTTGTTAGGCAAGACCACGCTGCCGAAAAAGTGAGGAGTCACACTATAGTTTTGCGATGATTCACGTGATTTGGAGTAGGGGTGTGCAAAAATATCGGAATATCGATATATCATATTGTTTAATGTGATGATACAGTATCGATATCGTGGGCTGCTGTATCGATATATCACCAAGAGTATTTTTAGGTGTGTTTTACTAAATTATTTTGTTACAGCACTACAGTTTTGCTGCTTGTGGAGTGAAAGGAAACTCATTTATGCAACACATTTGACATTTTCACTGTTTTGATGATTAAAATGTTTGTGTTTCATATGAACTTTGGACAAGAAGTGGTTTAACAAAGACTTGGTATCACAGACATGATTTAGCCTTTATTTTGTATTGAACCGTATCAAATCGATTTGAAATGTATCATATCGAATCGATAGTGCACTGTATCGAGGTATGTATCGCATCATGGCCTGTGTATCGAGGTATGTATCGTATCGGCAACTTCTTAATGATACCCAGCCCTAGTTTTGAGGGACTCAGTGAAGGTGGCGGCCACTTGTCAAGGCGGCTGCAGTAACCATAAAGTGCTGTGGGAAACACTCTAATGATTAAGTATTCTCCTCCTCTCATAACTTGATGCTGATCATCAAATAGTCAAACACAGTTGGTTAAGGTCACTAACAGTTGAGCCATTGTGTGGGCCAGAATGAGACACACTGACACTCTCTGACAAGATAAAGTTGTCTCAGACTCTAATGGATTTCTTTTTGCTGTTGCTGACATTTTTCATTCCCAAAAATAACTGTTAGTCAGTGAAAATGACTGAACTCTAAACAGACTGTTCTGATCTTCTACGGGATTACACAGTGAATGTCTGTAGTTGAACTTTGTGGCCATTGGGGGGCGCAGTCATTTCACATTTCTGTTGATGCTCTGACGCTCTGTGAGGGACCCGGGCCCTTGAATGACGGGGCCCTTGAATGACGGGGCCCTTGAATGACGGGCACCTTCATGCGTCAGTGTTTGGGGTTGAGGATCTGGGAAAGTGTTTGGATGATCCTCCTGCTTGTGTGCTCTCATCCACATGTGTGACGGCACTTTTTAAACACAGTAGTTCACAAATGAAGGCCTGGGGATGCTCCTACTGTGCCTCTTGGCCTCCATCCATGTTTTTTTTTTTTTTTTATGTTTTATGTTTGTACAATTTTTTTTTTTTTTTTAAATCCAGAGCAGCTAAAACACCTGGACAATATTTTGTACAGGGCCGATTTTGATAATTTTCCTCAAATTTTATTCTATTCTATAAGTTATTATAAACTCACAGCCTGTTTTTACCGTGAACATTTAGGAGAGCTGAGTAAGGTCCAAATCTTTGTGTATACTCTGTAGGAAGCACATCAACCAAAAAAAAAATCTGCTTGTGCTGCAGATTTTTACGCTAAAAAGTCCAAATATCAGCCTGTCTCTAATTTTGCAGCAGGTATGGGTCCGTTTTGACAAATTTCCCCACGTTTTATGACATAAATATATTAATAATAACGACATAAGAAAAAGACATTCACAAAAGCAAATGGCTGAAACCAGTATAGTCCAATCGATACATGGATCTGTAGTTCTAATTTCATTATTAAACTCTAGTTTGCTTCACAATCTTTCAAAATACATAGAGAGACATAGTGAGAGTGTACAGCAGTAAAGAGTCAGTCCTGTCAGGTCCCATCGCAGTAATCGTGTAGTATGAGCTAAAAAGGTTCCCCCCCGAGGCCCCGTCTGAGTCATGATGCAGAGAGCCATGCCCACGATGCAGCTGGTGTGTACTGCCACTGTTCATGGACTCATCGTGACGGGTACACTTTAAAATAATACATTTAATTAGTCAATATTATAATTAGAATTCATTGCGTCTCTGAACTTTTCACACCAACAAGTATTGCCAAAGAAAAGATCTGACCGAGATTAATTAAATTATTTTGTCACACCACTGCAGTTTTGTTGCGTGTTCAGAGGAAGGGAACTTACGCAACACATTTGACATTTTTGAGGATTAAAATGTTTGTGTTTCATATGAACTTTGCACAAGACATGGTTTAACAAAGACTTTTTATTATCACAGCCATGATTTAACCTTTATTTTTATTGAACTGTATTGAATCGATTTGAAATATATCAAATCGAAAGTGCAGTGTATCTTCTGAAGGATACCCAGCCCTAACTGCCAAGAGTGTATTTCGGTATATTTTGTAAAAATAGTTTGTTACAGAGCTACAGTTTTGTTGCTTGTTCAGAGGAAGGAAACTCTTTTATATGACGCATTTGACATTTTCACTGTTTTGATGATTACAATGTTTGTGTTTCATATGAACTTTGCACAAGACGTGGTTTAATAAAGACTTTTAGTGTCACTGCCAGGATTTAGCCTTTATTTTATTGAACTGTACCGAATCGAGTTGAAATATATCATATTGAATCGAAAGTGCACTGTGTTGAGTTATGTATCGTATCGTGGCCTGTGTATCGAGGTATGTCTCGTATCGGCAACTTCTGAATGATACACAGCCCTAATCAAGAGTATTTTTCAGTATATTTTCTTAAATTAGTTTGTTACAGAGCTACAATTTAGTTGTTTGTTCAGAGGACGGAAACTCTTTTATACGACACATTTGACATTTTCACTGTTTTGATCAGTATCACAGACATGATTTAGCCTTTATTTTTTTTTAACTGTACCGAATCGATTTGAAATATATCATATTGAATCGAAAGTGTACTATATTGAGATATATATCGTATCGTGACTAGAGATGGGCATGATTAGTCGACTAATCGATAATTGATCATTAAGAATTTCGTCGATTACCTTCATTTCTAATCGACAAACTGAATGTAGGTTTCTGCGTGTAGATATGAAGCTGCGTCTGACACAAACACTGGAGTTGCGGCCTCAGTCCCACGTTTTGGCTCTGACTCCTTGGAGTTCACTGTTCCCCTCATTGAGTGTGTTTATATAAGATAAGATAATCCTTTATTGTCTCCCATGAGAGAAATTTGTCTTGGGACAGGGGGTAACATGCTTTATCAAAAAACAGGACAATACAACACAATGCAGCACATAAACAAACACCATAGAACAAAGTAAATATGAGACCAAGTCTGACCACGAGTGATGCACCAACAGGACCTTTAAATTATTCTTAACAGGCAAGCCCTTGCATTATTGTATTCTATTAATTATTGCACATTCCCTAAGCCTATGTGCAGTTTTAATTGCACATATGTACATCAGTGTTCCGGTTTCATCATGGTGCATGTAAACGCAGTATCCCGGTTACTGCAACATAAAGAGCTGCACTAAACCTGCACATGTACGATCTTTGAAAACATCGCGACTCACACACAGCACAGACTCACCTTCAGCAGAACACCCTCTGTCACAGAAAGAACACTCATATTCCACTGAGTTGTGTCCTTTAGTCCGACAAAAGTTGAACCGCATCAGCGCACAAGAGCGGGTTTTTTTCTTCGCTTAGTTTTTGCAAATTAGCCATGCGGTTTTAAGTTTTGTTTCTGTGAGACTTGTGTAAAGCTGCATTAAACACATGATAATGTCAAACGGGCTGATGTGGCTCTAGAGTGATTATGTTTATATGTTGTAAAGTTGAGTTTATTTATACAATTTAGTAATAGTAATAATAATGATGATACTTATTATACAAAAACTTTAATGATTAATTGAACATCGATCATTAATTCTCCCGTCGATCGATTAATAAAATTTCATCGAATGCCCATTCCTACTCGTGACCTACGTGTCGAGGTATGTATCGTATCAGAAACGGCTTGATGATACCCAGCCCTAATTCCATGTCTAATCCAGGACTAAACCCGGTCTAAAAGTGAACTCCATCAGAAGAGAAGTTGGACAAAAACTGCTGTAATTGAAAAGCCTTCATTTTCAACCTGTATTTTGTTCTTTTAAAATGGTCGTTATTTCAAGTGTCAGTGTAGAACAGAAACAACCTCTGGACTAGTCGACCAACAGGAAAAAATAAAAAATCCTTGTTGAATAGTGGACGGTGCGGGGGGTTTGAGTAGTGGGGGGTGCGGTGGTGTTTCTGTCCCAGAATGCCGTGCCCTCATTAGAGTGTGCAGCCTGTGTGGTTATGTAAGTCCCCATGCCACATCCTCCTCCTCCGCACGCCAACGCATGCTAAGCCTCAAGGAAGAGCGTCCACATGTTCACATGAGACCGAGCAGATGAGCCACATGCACACCTTTGATTATTCTTTTTTTTTTTTTTTGCATATATATTTATTACTTTTTAGTTACAACTAAATAAACACCAACATAACAATAATAATAATAATAACAGTACAAAACAAATATTGGCCCATTCATATACCGTATTTTGTGCACAATATGTCACTCTGGATAATAAGGCGCACTGTCATTGAATGGTCTATTTTCAAACTTTTTTCACATATAAACCGCACCGGACTATAAGGCACATTAAACGAAACACAACAGTTAGATAAGTCAGTCAAACTTTATTCAATGTGTTCACAATAACTCTCAACTTTGTTCAATTGTAACACATAAAAAAAAATATTGTCTGAGATGCTAAATTGTTCGTGTATTCACAATAAGTCATAATAGTTGAAACAGTTGGGTGATTCCTGCGTCCACACGTCCACATCCCTCTGTCATTCTCCAAGTCAGTGTGGTTACTGTTCCCTGGAGTTCAGTTCAGTGATGATTCTGGTCTTGGTGAAGCTCGGATCACAGTTGATCCTGATCCTTAACCCAGGCGTCCACGATCCGTTGGCAGATCATAGCGTAAGTGGCTCGGCGCTGTCTCTCTGTCTTGGTGAATGTGTGTTCTCCTTCTCTCATCCACTGCTCCCACGCAGCTCACACTTTCACTTTAGAACAGCCTTGAGTTTAAAGTGGGCGTTGTGAGCGTGTCTCTGGACAGGAGCATTTTGATATTAAAAGGAATCACAGTCTGTATTACTCCTGATGCTCCTGACTACGGGAGCCGTAACGCTGCAAGTGGAGCGGCTTTGTACTTTACTAAAGTCGTACTAAGACAAACCAGTAAATTCATAGATAAGACGCTCTGGATTATAAGGCACGCACTAATTTTTTTTTATGAAATTAAAGGCTTTTAAGTGCGCCCTATAGTGCAGAATATAAGGTATTAGACACAGATACACCCATTTCAAAATGTAATTGCCCTGTTCATAATAGATGAAATCACAAGTCCAGTATACATCAAAAAGGTTCCTTAGTCTTCTTAAAAAATATTGTCTTTATGAGGAAGCCGACACGTCACGTAATCAAGAGAAACAAAACCAAGAACCATCTTCTGCTATTGAGCTTTAGATGGAGTCTGGTCAGATAATTCACTAGTCGACTTCTTTTCCTAGCACAAAAAGCCAGTATCCCATACAAATTACTATTGTGCTTGTTCTTCACAACAGAGTCAGATACACCAAGCAAGAGAAATAAAAGATTCTTAGTCAGATTTACAGACACTGTTTTACATTTTTTGTCTATGTTTGATTCTTTTACCTTACCCTTGCAGCGCTACGCTGGAGGCATTATTTATTCCCTCCACTCTCTGTACACTCTGTGGCGGTAAGATACTGCTGTAGCTGCTAGCCACAGCTGTCCTGGGGCAGGCTGATGGAAGTGAGGCTGTCAGTCTGCACCATCACTCCAGTAAAATGTCTTGCCTATGGAGACAATGACAGACCTTGGTCCAAGTGGGAATCAACCCTCCGACCTTCGAGTTGAGGGACCAGTACTGTGATCACTGAGCCACTGCGGCCCCAGAATCACAGATTTTCACATTCTGTCAGAAATGTGCCCACAAGCAAAAGCAGCTCTTTAATAGAAAGCTCTGATTCTTAAAGCCCCAGTCCCACCTGCGGCCCGGCCCCTCCCACCCTCCTCCCTCCCGTCCTGCCGGGGTGTGCTCTGTGAGGAGAGGGGGATTTGTAAATGTAGGCCAGCACGCTCTTACGTCAGGCCAGGGCAGCTGCTCAGGCCGGGGCTGTAACTGTGCTCCAGCTGTGCAGCCATGGTCCGCAGCCCACTGCCCCCAGAGACCAGACCAGAGCACCGGAGCCCACCACAGACCACCAGAGACCAAGGGACATCAGAGGAGACCAGCTGAGACATGAAGACGGTCCTCAGCCTGCACCGAAAATGGGCTCACGCGGTCAAGACCATCCGCATCCTGCAGGGCCTCGTGAGTGTGCTGGTCCTGCTCAGGCTGGACCTCCTCCTCCTCTTCCTCCACCTGCTCCTCTGGACGTCAGGATTTTCTAGAAGCACTTTTCATATTTTACACTGAGAAGCTGTGGCATTCTTGTTTGTTTGTTGTTTAGTGACAGACGTACCTTTTGGAGTAGTTGCTTGTGGATATTGCTGTATTTGGAGTAGTCCTTTTCTCCATCATCTTTGTTAGTACTTTTAGCTCATCAGTTCATTCATTACATGGTGGTGGTCATTGTTTTGTAACCTTTTGTGTCACAGTTTAATTCCTGCAACTGGAATGGCCAGTGTGGGTGAAGTCTGAATGGGGATCCCTCTCCGCCACAATTGACCCAGTTTAGTTTCTAATTCGGATGAACTTTGCTGCTCGACACAAAGCAAGCTCATTAGCTCTACAGTCTGGTGCTGTGCTGCAGAGGGGGGCTTTGGATGAGAGGAATCAAGAGTTTTCTGAATGAGCTACAGAAAGTGACATGCTGAATATTTACCGAGTCTGAGAAGGTCTGGTCCTGGTCCAGAAATCCTTGTTGGACTAAAGACATGTGCTGCCGATCGACTGAAAAGGGGGCGTGGCAAAAGCTGTCCAAACTATTACTTTGTGTACTTGTGTATCTGACTTAATCTGCACTCACATGACTGCACCTGCAAGAGGAGTTCACCCAAAAACTACTATGCAAAAAAAAAGTACAAGGAAACGATGTATTTCTATAAAGACAGATTAAACATGAGTGAATTAAGAGTTTAATCTGATTTCTTCCAGAGAAATACAAGTGCTTACAGTTTTCATTCACTCCTTTCTGCTGTTGTCCTATAGAACTCCTGATCAACTAAATAACATGATGAATGGACTAATACACATTTTGCTCGACTAAAATCACTAAACGACTAAAGGAGTCTAGCCCTAGTTTCTGCCTGACTGTTGTGTGTGTGTTTCCACAGAACCCGGTGATGGAGGAGACAGTGTGGGAGCAGTACACAGTCACGCTGCAGAGGGTGAGTCTGTTCTATAGTATGTTCATTACTGGAGATTTGTATTTGACTTATACAGCTTTTTTGCTACCTTTTTCATTTCCCTATTATTTCCTGTTATCTTATATCTTGGACCATTACAAGTTGATGGGTTGATAGGGACCACCCCCAACTCCAACCCGTTTGGTCTCAGGGCCCAAATACACCCTATTTAGGAAAAGCTGCTGGTGAAATGATGTAATTGTAAATATTAAGGTACCGCAACTGCATAAAAGGTTAAATAACCCTAAAATGTTGCCTGGTGTATCCTGACACAAGGATCAAACCAGCAGAAAAATATTCTGGGGCTTGCTGCCTTTCTACTGTCAAATATCAACCTCAGCATACCCCAAAAGACAAAAAAAACATCTGTCCACCTGACAAATTGTCAGCAAAAGTGATCATTTTCAATCTTTTCATTTCTGTCTAGAGGGAAACAACTGCTATGACCAAAGTTTTTCACTGTACCTCACATCAGCAGAAAACAGAACTTTCAGGCATTACTATTTCATATGGGATTAAGCAGATTTTTTTTCCATATAAACAATATTTGAAAGGAGTTGACTTATGCACTGCTGTACTATTACAATGAATTACATTCAAAGTGAATAATATTAAAACTCCAGGTGGACAGGGGTCAGGGGGCTAAGATAAAACTGTGGTAACCAGATTACACACACACATGCACACATGCACACAATGCACACAAACAACAGACAACAAACAACAAACACCCTCACCCATCATGCAAAATCCCATCAGAAGTTATTCTCCACAGACAGTTTTGAGAGAAGTTGATCCATTTGTCTGGTTTCTTCACCATTGTTACATTTGAGCAGCAGTAGTTAAAACACTCCTCCACACAGATAACTCAATAATTAGATCAGATCCTTGGTGTGTACTAAATGTGATGATCATCACGTCCTCATGGTGACATCTATCATTTCTGCCTGTTACTCTTTCACTCTTAAACATTTCTCTGTTTCATTTTTGCTTCATTTTCCTTGCCCAAACCTGCACAGTGTGGACCATCAGAAAATCACTAATGGAATAGCTCCCATCAGATAATGACCACAGTGTTTGTGTACGTAGAGACTATTCTGAATGAGAGCTGTTTAAACTTTGTCCCAGTAGCGTAGTGAGGAGCACCAACACGTCAATAACCAGTGATTCAGTTTGAAATGATTGAAGGAAGTATCCATGCGTTTGCCCTCTGTTCTATAGTGTCCAGTCCACATGGTTTAAAAGAGCTATTCTCCTCTGTGAGGGAGACATCTGCCCGGCCCGGAGCTGTGCTGCTGTTTTAAGTGCAGATGGAGGGATAAAGACAGGCCATCCAATCTGTGCTCTAATCTCATCAGCCCAGAGGAGCAGGTAGAGACCAGCACAGCAGCAGACAGAGACTATACATACAGGGAGTATACATACAGGGAGTATACATACAGGAAGTATACATACAGGGAGTATACGTACAGGGAGTATACGTACAGAGACTATACATACAGGGAGTATACGTACAGGGAGTATACATACAGGGAGTATACGTACAGAGACTATACATACAGGGAGTATACATACAGAGACTATACATACAGAGACTATACATACAGGGAGTATACGTACAGAGACTATACATACAGGGAGTATACGTACAGAGACTATACATACAGGGAGTATACGTACAGAGACTATACATACAGGGAGTATACATACAGGGAGTATACATACAGAGACTATACATACAGGGAGTATACGTACAGAGACTATACGATACAGGGAGTATACGTACAGAGACTATACGTACAGGGAGTATACGTACAGAGACTATACATACAGGGAGTATACATACAGAGACTATACGTACATGGAGTATACGTACAGAGACTATACGTACAGGGAGTATACGTACAGGGAGTATACGTACAGAGACTATACGTACAGGGAGTATACGTACAGGGAGTATACGTACAGAGACTATACGTACAGGGAGTATACGTACAGAGACTATACGTACAGGGAGTATACGTACAGGGAGTATACGTACAGAGACTATACGTACAGGGAGTATACGTACAGAGACTATACGTACAGGGAGTATACGTACAGAGACTATACGTACAGAGACTATACGTACAGAGACTATACGTACAGGGAGTACACGCACAGGGAGTACACGCACAGGGAGTACACGCACAGGGAGTACACGCACAGGGAGCTGAGTAGGTCTAAACTACAGGCTCTGCAGGTTTTCTATAGAAGAAATGATGAAGACTTTACACAGTGTAAATGTGAGCACTTGGATAGTCCTCATCTCTGTCCTGACTCTGACCTGTGCAGAGGCCACACTGTAGGGAGATGGAGCTCATTCCTCACTCTTGTACTCCTGTCCGTTCTGTTTATATCCAGACCTGCTTGAGGTCAGATCTGGGAAATTTTGCATTCGTTACTAAACAGATTCAGAGTTACTGGTAAGTAGATGCCCAGGATGTCTACATCAGTATCAGTTGGTACAGAGCAGAACTGGGCTTTGTCCAGCTCCAGAGCCATATTCAGCCCTTTGGTTGACTCTGACAAGCCCCTTTAAACTCTTCTGGAATTACAAACTAAACATATTTTATAATTTGACCTCATGCATGGGCTAAAGCTGCATTATTTTATATATATATATATATATATATATATATATATATATATATATATTTTTTTTTTTTTTTTTTTTTTTTTTCTGTATAAACTTTTTGTAAGGGAGCCTCACTTTTTCATTGTTTATTCATAACATAAACACTTGTCAGTCTGAGCAGCTCATCAGAACAATGAGATTTGCTGTTTTTTAATAAAGAAAATGCAGTTAATATTATGCAGAACTGAGCCCGGCCCTCCACATTGTTTTCTATTTCTTATGTGTCCCCATGGAAAAAAAGAATTGCCCACCACTGGTATAGGGTATTTGGTATTTGAGACCTACAAAATAAGTTTTGCTATTGAACATTCACTTCATATGAATTGGTGAATGTAGTGTTTGAAGAAACAGTGAGTCAGTGGAGAGTCAGCATTAAAGAAAGTGAGTAACCATGTTTTTGCTTTTACAGGATCCTAAAATGGGCTTTGGCATCGCAGTGTCGGGGGGGCGGGACAACCCCAATGAAGACACAGGGGAGACATCCATCGTAGTGTCAGATGTCCTACAGGGAGGCCCCGCAGATGGACTGCTCTTGTAAGTTTACAAGTGACTATGAAATAATCCAGTTTGACTGAAATCTCTTCCCCAGTGGACATATTATCCTCCAACAGAGTTTACTGGCCCACCATTCTCTTGGTGTGAAAAAAAGTGCATTGTGCATACAGACTATTGTTGATGTTGTCACAAATCCTCGTGTTCTTCTGTTGTTTCTTGTTCAGTGAGAAAGACCGTGTGGTGCAGGTGAATGCCATCCCCATGGACGGAGTTGTTCACTCCTTTGCCGTGCAGACTCTCCGGAAATGTGGCAAAGTGGCCAAAATAGTAAGTCCTTTTGATTAATCTACTAAAACCCACAGGTAAACTACTGGAAAATATCAGGGCTATTCCATCAAGGCTGCTTAACAAATCCAGGCTTATCCTGAAATCCTAGACTGAAAGTAGCTCTATCTTCAGCTTATGCTTCAAGTAAAAGAAACAAACCTGTATCTGACCAGCACTAACTTAGGCCTGATCTTTTGTGCACTTTCGGAAACTTGAGGAATGTCAGACTAGTGGAGCAACAGCAGCAGTGAAAATGTGCTCAGAGGGTCATCAGTGATGTTTTTAATGATCTGACTAAATGAGAGGAGCCAGAGTGTGCACGGACAATAGTTCGACCCAGATGTTTTCAGATCATTTTGATGAGCGAGAGGGATGTGTGTACATGATTCTGAACATGTGTGTCTCTGTCCTAGACGGTGAAGCGTCCTCGTAAAGTCCCAGTGAACATGTTGAACCGCCCTCCGTCTCCAGACGACCGAGTCTTCAGCACAGACTACACAGAGGACTACCCCTACGACGGGGACCGCCGGAGTGTCTACAGTGGGCACGACCAGGCCCCCGACCGGGACCACCGGGACCGTGACTCTGGCTACCAGACCCACGACCGAGACTACGAGCGAGGACGCAGCTCAGAGAGGGACCTGGGGGACGAGCGGCCCTACAGGAGGGACGGCAGCAGGGGGCGCACTCTGGAGCCCGAGCGCAGCCCTGACCGGAGATACCGCAGTGACCACACTCTGAACCGAGACTACAGCCCAGAGCGCAGGTGTGTGTCACGACCTGCAGGGGGAACTACGGGAGCTACAGCATCTATATTCTATTCATCTATTTATATCATTTATATCATCTATGGACTGGAGGAAATGCAAAGTGTGAAATGACTCAATAGAGGTTTTAGTTTTTAGATTTTCCAAATTTGCTTTGATCACCCCTTTCCACTCTTTCCTCTAATGAACCCTGGCACACCTGTGAAGTGAAAACCATTTCAGACTCATTGAAAAGGCCAAGGGTTTCCAGCGCATTGGTCAAACCAAAGGGTGGCTACTGTGAGGAATCTGAATCCAAAATATAGAACATATTTGGAGTTATTAACATTTAATTATTTACTACTTCAGTCCATATGCTTTGCATCATATTTGATTCTTCAGTTCATATCAGTGATGTAGAAAACATAGAGTGCGTTGTATAAGTAGAATAGTAAACATTCAGACTGAAAGTCTTTTAAATCACCATGACTCTGTGTCCCTGTTAGCAGCTGTAATCTGCTGCACAGTCATGGGAAACTACACAAGTTGACTTTAGTGTTTCCTGCCCAACAGGAGGTACAGAGACCACAGCCCAGACCGGCGTTACCGAAGCGAGCGCACCCTGGACCGAGACTACAGCCCCGACAGACGTTACCGCGACGACCGTGATCACAGCCCGGACAGGCGTTACCGCAGCGACCGAGCGTTAGACAGACAGAGCCCAGACAGAGGGCGCTACAGGCGGGACAGCCCCAGCCCCATCAGAGGCCGCGCCCCCAGCAGAGAGAGGCTGGACCGCTCCCCGTCCCCGCCCCCCCTGCCCATCCCTCTGCCCCGCCCTCCGCCACGGGAGCACGAGCCTCTGGAGAAACCACTTAACGTCCTGCTGCTCAAGAACAGGCCCAACGAAGGTCAGTCCCATGTGCCTGCTCCACCGTCCTGTACTTGAATTACACTGTCACAAGTGCAGTATTACACATCCTTCCTTCTGGAACAGGACACAGCTTTTATTATGGACGGGGCAAGATCTCATGAGACAAAATGACCACAGCAGTATGCACACGTGTTTAGGTTTACATTGGAAAAAAGTGAAGTCTGGCAATTTAGAGCTGTAGTTCTAAAAAAAAAAAAAAGTGTTACAATGACAACCAAGTAAATAAAAATGGTGAGGCCAAAATTTTGACCTGAGCCCCATAATTATTTATTATAATTCATGTGAAAATCTTATCTTGTCTCGTTCTCATGGACACAATCTTGTATCTTGTGTGGAAATAGTGTTTTATCCCATCGTAGCATTTAGCCTTGTTATGTTGTTGTTCCCTCTCCACAAACATACCTGGACTTGTATTGTGCTGTGTTGTTTCATTTGTCCTGTGTCTGAGTTGGTCTTGCTTGAGCACTCAGAAATCACTGTAATCACTCCACGCTCTGTGTCCCATGGCTTTCAGAGTATGGACTTCGTCTGGGCAGCCAGCTGTTCATCAAAGAGATGACAAGTACTGGACTGGCCAATCGAGACGGAAACCTGCAGGAGGGAGACATCATTCTGAAGGTGACAGACTCACACTCACATGCACTCTCAGGAGCGAGCCCAGACTTTTTCGACACACTTTATCATTGTGCCTGGTTTTTGAACACTCCACAACTTAAATGCAAACTTTTAGTCCATGAATTACCCGTTTCCTCACTTTTAATAATCACATGTATTAGTTTATGTTACACTAAATATATAAAGAGGAGGGATGCAACGGTGCAGTTTTCACACAATTCCATATGTATCTCAATACATGGGTCACAATATTGGTTTAGATTTCGATGACTTTTTGAGACGTTTTTACTCTGAAAGCAGCAGCGAGGGACAGCAGCCCCTCCCACACTGCCCTGCTCTTACACACACACACACACACACACCCCCACACACACACACACACACACACACACACACACACACACCCTGCTCCTAATAGATTCGCAGCGCCCTCTCATCTTCTTTCTTTCTAAACTGTTTTATTACATAAAAATGTTGCAGTAGACGGTTTTCTGAGTGAAACTTATGAGAGAGTCTGTGAAAAAGATTTCGTATATTGTGAGTGGCATAGCGTGTGTGTATATGATTTGATTAATGTTATGTAAAGCCTAAGCTATTGTAGAGTATTTAAAAGTTAATATCTTTGTCAATTCTGGATGTATAAATGTAAAATAAAAACATGACAGAAAGATCAAATCCTCTGTTAGAATATTTCAGCGGTGAGTGTGTATGGAGCTGTTTCGCTGCAACAGAGGAGGACGCTGCATTAACCGTTTCCCTTATGGACCAAAATAAACGTGAACACCGCGCGCAGGGAGGGAAATGTGCGCAAAACACGTGTATTGAACAATATGATATTATATTGTATGTGTGGCCGTACCAGCTTGTCAAATGCCTGATCCCGTCAGATCTCAGAAGCTAAGCAAGGCCATCATTGTGTCCTTAGGCAAGACACTTCACCCACATTGCCTAGTATGAAAGTGGTGAGTGTGTGAGTGTGTGAGTGTGTGGTGGTGGTCGGAGGGGCCGGTGGTGCAGATTAACAGCCGCTCTTCTGTCAGTCTGCTTGCCACCACCGGGTCTGGAGTGAATGAATAATGCTCTTTGTGACATATGTCTGAAAAGCACTGTTAATAAAAACACACACACACACTCACTCAATCACACACACACTCACTCACTCAATCACACACTCAATCACACACACACTCACTCAATCACACACACACTCACTCAATCACACACACACTCACTCAATCACACACACTCACTCACTCACACACTCAATCACACACTCACACACACTCACTCACACTTCCACACTCACTCACTTAAACACTCACTCACACAGTCACACACTTACACACTCACCCCCTTACACACTTACACACTCACACACTTACACACTCACGCACTCACACACTCACACACTTACACACTCACCCCCTTACACACTCACCCCCTTACACACTCACACACTCACGCACTCACACACTCACCCCCTTACACATTTACACACTTACACACTCACCCCCTTACACACTCACACACTCACCCCCTTACACACTTACACACTCACCCCCTTACACACTCACCCCCATACACACTCACACACTCACCCCCTTACACACTCACACACTCACCCCCTTACACTCACACACTCACACCTTACACACTCACCCCCTTACACACTTACACACTCACCCCCTTACACACCTTACACACTCACACACTCACACACTCACACACTCACACACTTACACACTTACACACTCACCCCTTACACACTCACCACACTCACCCCCTTACACACTCACCCCCTTACACACTCACACACTCACCCCTTACACACTCACACACTCACACACTTACACACACACACACCCACACACTCACACTCACACACTCACACACTCACACACTCACACACTTACACACTCAAACATTCACACACTCACTCACACACTATCGTTGCATGCCTAATAAACAGTAGTTGATTGTGAGTCCTAACAAATCTGTTTTCGTATCCGGTCTCAGATCAACGGCACCGTGACTGAGAACCTGTCCCTGAGCGACGCGGGGAAGCTGATCGAGAAGTCCAGAGGCAAACTGCAGCTGGTGGTGCAGAGGGACCGCAGCCAGATCCTCATCAGAGTGCCTCCCATGGTGGACAGCGACTCAGAGCTGGACGGTGAGAGCAGGGAGGACGCGCACTGACCACACCACTGCCCACAGCCCCTGATCCTGCAGCACCACACATGGGACTGGGCTGAGGGGCCGCTGTGAGCACATGTGGATGGAGGCACTGCTGTGGATAGAAGTGCAGTACTGTCGTTTTTCCAGTGGTTCTTGATCTGCTTATTGTTGTTTTGGTGGTACTTGGGAGTGTTGGAGTTTGTCTAGAGCTGCTGCTGGTTTAGAACTGGTTTAGTCTTCGAATAGTTAAGGGTGGACAAGATTGACAAATTGACAAAAATTAATCTTGATATTTTTCTGAATTTTCTTGGTAACAATATTTTTGAGATTTAAGTCCAGCACAAAGCTTGAACGGACCATAAAGTTAATCATAAAAGTGCAGAAATATCACTATGCTCTTGTTACGAGATGTTTCTATCTCTTTTTGAGATCATTTTAATAGTTTTAATTTGTTTTAAATAGATTATACTTAAGAAAGCCGCAGGATTTAAGAAAAATTTGACTGTTGCAATTAGATATGAGATTTAAAATATGAACTCTGAACAGAATCCTATTGGTAAAATATAAATGTGTCCAGATTGAAATACGAACTGTAAGAATCACAAACTAATATGAATCACATTGCTGAATATGTTTGTACAGACCTAAACTAAGCAGTTTTTATGCTGATTAAGATTTAAGAATAAGATTTTGTTGTTTATGGAGGAAATGGTATTGCTTAAAATTTGCAGCTTTTGGGATTTTCTGATTGCGTCCATTCAAATTGCGAATTGACTCACTGTGCAGCCCCCAAAAAATATCCAATTTACGAGATCTCCCACTTCTAGCCCTATTTTAGACTTGAGTTTGATGCTACTGCAGTTTTTATAACCTGGTTTTAGTCCTGCTTTTCAGCTTGTTCAGTCTTTCTTCTTTCCTCTTTAGCAGTTTCAAAGGAAGTTTAGTTCATTTAAGGAGGCAGCCACAAAGCAATGCTGATCCTGGTTTGAACTCTACTTTGTAACACGGGTGAGCTGCCTGTCCAATCAGAGCAGAGGAGACTGAAAGGGAGTGACTGGAGAGTACATTCTAATCGCCACATGTTGTAACTTGTTTAAAACGGCAGATACATAATGAGCCAAACTGCTTTATCTATCAAGAAATGGAATCTTCCTCTGGCTTCATATTGCACCTGTTTTCTTAACTTTCCCCTTTGTATAAATAAAATATGAAATGTGAAACGACATGATGTGGCTACACTTTTTGTCCTGGCTCATAATCATATCTGAAAGATCTTAAAATAAAACTCCCTTCATCTCCTCTATAAAACCATTTACCAGTTGATCTAATACTGCGTCCCATCTCGAGGCACCTTGTTTTATATACCTGGTTTTGATGTCACATGACCTGAGGGAGCGTTGCGATTGGTCCGTTCAGCTGAAGTGGTGTGACTGGATTGTTGAGGGGGGTGACCCACATTAGTGTTTTTGTGTTCACACTGGCTCCAGGCGGCGTGTCTAATCCAGCCCATAATCCCACCACTGGAGCACACACAATGTCATTAACTTCAAATCTCCTCGATGGCTCGGGTAATGGGACAGTTTGGGACCACTGTGTGTCTGTCACCTCGTCTGGCTCCGTCAGTCCAAGTTACAATAACACACAAAATTTAACCCTTCATGTTTTGAAATTAAAATGTAATTGTAATATGAGACCAGTAGATTCTGATAAAGTCAAATAATCTAGTTGTGTAAAATGGTAAATAAACAAACAATTAAAAACTCAAATAGCTCGAATTGAAGACAGCACATAGCAGATTTATTTTGACCTGAAGAGCTGCTTATATAGTACAATGTATCTGTCCTGGGGCAAGACACATTTTGCTCAAATACATGGGATTAAATTCAGTACAGGAACTATAAATATAATATATATATATATATATATATATATATATATATATATATATATATTATATAATTTTATTTTTTTTTTTTAAGTATTTTTCCCTGATGTGGGTGCTCTTTACTACTACTACTACTACTCTCTTTACTATTACTACCCCCATTAGAAAAGTGAAAAATGTCATCCGTGTAATGCAGATGCCCATCCTCATCTGTATTCTCATAGCTGTGAGCAGAGCTAACATGTGCTGACATTTGTGCTGTTGTGTTGCAGATATCTCTGAGATTGAGTCGTACCGCTCGTACTCCCCACAGGAAGACAGGAGGGGGCAGCACTCAGACCTGTCCTCACACTCTTCCAACGAGAGGCTGCGGGACAAGCCCAAGTACACTACGCTACACACTACACACTACACTACACACTACGCTACACACTACACTACACACTACACTACACACTACACTACACACTTACACTACACACTACACTCACTAAGCCAGCCTGGCTCCTTCCACACCACCTGGTTCTTTAGACCTTTACATGCAGGAATTTAAACTGTGACTGTGCTCTTGTGTCTGTTGTGACATAGACTAACATAAAGGGTTCATCCTAAACAGCCTTAAAAAGTATTTCCAATTAGGGCATTGCTATTAAAGGAGTGCTATAAAAGGAATTCAAGTTTCACTCATTTCTAACATCAGTACTCAGCTTGTGTCTTTTTAATGGACTGGTCTGGAGCCGATCGTCTCAGTAAAAGATGGTGGTTTGGAGCAGACGCAAAACTCTGGAAGAAGAAATTTGACGATTTGAACTGTGACTCTTAAAATTATAAAAATATAAATTCTGTATTACTTTTATGGGTGGGATTTGATAAAAAAAAAACATGTATCTAATTAATTAATCTCAATTAATTGTAATAATATTTGCCTAACTCATTTACTAATTTTCTTGCTGAAGCCCATCATTTGTTGGAGTTTGGGCTGCTGGCACCTCTTGTTTGTGCTCGGAGCAGAACTGCTCCCGCCTCAACAGCTCCAGCAGTTTCTGTGCTGCCACATGTTTTATATTTACATGGTCTCATGGGGTCGAGGGGCTTCTGTGAGATCAAACTCTTCTCTGCACAGTTTGCAATAAACGACGCCTTTGTCGATGCTTCCATCAGGTCGTTTTTTGAATAGAAATGTACCGTCCAGCAGACCCAGAGCGCTTTCATGCTTCATTATTGTAGTCGCTGTCCGTCAGTATAACTGGCGAACCATGAACGTTCTGCGTTGTTTATCAAACTGCAATAAAATGCGTTCATATTTTTAATGCATTATTTTCTTGGTAATTAATTAATCGTAATTAACTCGTTAATGTCCCACCCTTAATTTAAACATAATTTTATTTGGTTTTAATATTATTTATACCTTTCAGGCAACATGCAGTGGTCCAATATTTCTCACAGTTACACCTAAAGACTTAAAAAGTTTTTCTTAGAAGTTTTTTTTCTTAAAATGTTATTACTGTACTGCCACGGGAAAAGGTTTGAGCCTCTGATTAGAAGCACAGTCAAAATTTAGCATACGTATGAAGCTTGAAATGAAATGTGGTATTAATCAAGGAGGACCAGCATTACATGTTTCTTATGATTTATATCTCATGACACGTGAGTGACTGATGAATGAATAATGATCTGTAAAGTGTCTTTCTGACATATGTCTGTGAAAAGCTATATAAATAAAAACTTACTTACTTACCTGACTGTAGATTTAGAAAAGACTTTTTATCTGAGCATTTGTGGATGGAGTTGGTTTGTTTTACAGAGAGGAACCAGCCAATAGACTGGCCAAAATGGGTGCCATGGCGACGCCGTTCCGACCTCCTGATGACAAAACCCCTGTGCCGATTGAAAGGGAGGAGCCTCGAGCAGACACGCCTCCAGGTTATATTAGATTACACACCTACATGGATATTAGACCATGACTACAACATGGCCATAGAACAGGACTAGAACAGGACCAAACCAAGTCCAAGTGTGAGCTCAGTGTGTAAAAGGTGTGCTTCTGTGTTTCAGTCATCACTCCAAAGGTTCGTGCTGTGGCCAAAGTGCCTCTGAAGGCCAGTGCAGAAGAACAGGACATCTACGGGTGAGACATGATGTTCATTATGTCACTGCACTCTCAGCTATGGGAGTTATATCTTAGCCTGGAAGTAGGGCTGTGCCAAAAATGAAAAGATTGATAGATTGCGATATTTAATTAGGTTGATGTTAATGGTAAGGCTTATGTATTTGAATCGACAGATCTACAGCCAATCCAGTGGTGCCGCCTGCTCCCCCTCCCTCTCTGATCCAGCTCCTCACCTTTTCTCCTCTTCCTCTCCTCTGGTGCTTCTTATCATTATAATTCAAGTTATTGAAAGTAAATGACTGTTTTCTCACAGTTTATGAGTGAAACATAAGTCCTGGTGTAGCGCGGCGACATCGCAGGTGTTTCAGTTGATAGTGGTGCATGTGTTTCTGTAACACATGTGCATTTAGGTTTAATATGTTGTACAAACTCATTCAAGCTTTACATGTCTATTTCTCCATAATTATCAATTGTAACAACACAACATAAAAACTGTAGTAGTCCTGAAACTCTGCTCTTTATGTCTGAACTATGCCTGCTTATGTTTTCAGTAAGATGGAAGAAAATCTAATTGCAAATTGAGATTGATCAATATGGGGGAAAACAAAAAACGTGACTTTAAAAAAATATATTTTTTTTCACTGCCCAACAGTTTGGCATTAAGGTGTTTGTATTTATCATAACGATATTTTGAAAGCATACATTCTTCCTGTGAGTGGGCTTGCCTCTCCTCAGATCTGACTGGTAACTTGCTTGCCTCAAAGTTTATGTCCATACTGTGACAGATTCCAGGCAAAACAGTAACATGTTCATGCAAGCAGGTGCTGTGCTCTCATCCAAACTAAAGACGCAGTGCACCTTTAAAGTGAACTAACATCTTGAGTTGTTTTGGTGCCTAATGACAGCCTCATGTTTGTGTGTGGACAGACCCAACACGGTGATGGTGCGCTTCATCAAAGGAGACAGCGTGGGTATGAGGCTGGCAGGAGGCAACGACGTGGGCATCTTCATCGCAGGAGTGCAGGAGGACAGTGCAGCCGAGCAGGAGGGGCTGCGCATGGGGGACCAGATCATGAAGGTCAGTCTGCTCGACTCCAGGGCTCGCTTCTCTCAGTCTTATAGTTTTATCTGGACATGAAGGTTTGATGTGTGATGTTTGTTTCTGCAGGTGAACAGCATGGACTTCAGGGGGATGGTGCGAGAAGATGCTGTGCTCTACCTGTTAGAGATTCCCAAAGGAGAGGAAGTGACCATCTTGGCTCAGAGCAAACCTGAAGGTATTTGTGAATCAAACAGATGACAGCAGAATAAAACATGCCTATTGCTTACAGCTTAGAAATAGAAGTTCACATAGTTAACATAATTGTATTTTACTACCTGAAACTAGCCCACTGCCCTTAAAAACTAGTTTTCCTAGTTTGATTTATAATTGTACTTCCTGGTTAGACAAGGGCAGAGCATGTGACATAAACTGAAATTGTCCCTGTATTTTTGATGCAGTTTTATTTTAAAACTCAGCACTAGTTTTTGTAATATTTAACTTTTTTGATCATCTTGTCCTGTGTGTGTGTACTTCCTATGAGGCAGTGTCTCACTTGAGCAGAACTGAAGAAGCCACTTGGCTGAGTGCTGAAATATCTTCACTCTAATACTTCTGTCCAGTTGACAGAATGTAAAATGTATTTAACTCTGTAAAACTATGATAAATATTTCCTATTTGCTCTAACCCCCCTAAAATAAAGTAATAATTAGACAAACATGTAAACCACGTTGACGTGAACTGAAACCTACTGATGATTTTCAGTGTATGAGGACATTCTGGCGTCCGGTCGGGGTGACTCCTTCTTCATCAGAACACACTTTGAGTATGAGAAGGAGGCTCCTCAGAGTCTGCCCTTCACCAGAGGGGAGATCTTCAAAGTGACTGACACCCTGTATGACGGGAAGCTGGGCCACTGGCTCGCCATCCGCACGGACAAGGACAACCAGCTGCTGGAGAAAGGCATCATCCCCAACAAGAGCAGGTCTGCACCAGCACCACAGCGCTCTCACAGTCCACATTAATGTTGTCTCCATACGATATCCATATACCATATATACAATATTGAGTTTTATCACAGTGACAATCAGCATTAAACAGTAGAACTTTCTGTTCTATTCCCTTGTGGTCTTATATGTGTGTAATACTCAGAGGTCCAGTAGGTTCTATAGTGGTCCATGGGTGTATACTAGTCTATGTGCTCTTATACTTCAGATCATTCTAGGCTTAGATTAGTATTAGTATGATTTTCAAAACTTGACAATCTTAGTCCACAAATAGACTTTATATTCTTCTACCCGGGTTGTTCACTTGTAAACTGTTTTACTTTTTTTATTTAGGTACTTGCTTAGATCTAAAGATTTTTTGTAAGAGGTAAAAGTACATGTGGGAATTTGTCCTCTGCAGTTGATCCATTCATCAGTGCCACTGGGTCCAGCTCTTGAGCTAGGCTTGATCAACAACGTCTAACTTACAAGCTATTTGTCAAAATCATTTATCTACCACTATCAGACCATTATTATTTTTGAAAACTCATTCTTGAGTTCACTCTGAGTCTCAAGTTCATAAGTGGAAGTGAGACTGTCAATTTGCACCATCGGTCTCTGACCACCACCAACACACATACACACACCGTATTCATACTAGGCAGTGTGGGTGAAGTGTCTTGCCTAAGGAGATAACAGTTTTTGCCACTGCCTTCCCACTGTGGCACCTGTTCTCCCATGCAAGTCCAAACCAGGCCCAGCCTTGCTCATCTTCTGAGACCTGACAAGATCAGGCTTTGACTAGCTGCTATGACCTGTTCTGAATGACAAAAACATTGGACATAACAAACACAAAAGTCTCATCCATTTGAGTATATCCATCCATCCATTTTCTTCCACTTATCCGGGGCCGGGTCGGGGGTTGAGTACATGTGTATTGAAAGTAAACGTACACTAAACTACAGAGTTAGCAGGTGTTAGACAGAATAAGATCAAATGGGGAACACTGGGATGTTTTTGTTAATTAAAATGAGATTGGACACACTGAGGCTGCCAGTGTAATACCAAAGTCCATTCTAACCACCTGGCTGTTTGTTTAGGGCGGAGCAGATGGCCAATGTGCAGAACGCAGCTCGAGCCGCCTCTGGAAACGACCGCGGAGACTTCTGGAGGCTCCGGGGTCAAAGGGCAGCCAAGAAGAAGGACCTGCGCAAGAGCCGGGAGGACCAGAGCGCCGCACCTGTCACCACACGCTTCCCCGCCTACGAGAGAGTGGTGCTGCGGGAAGGTACCACACACACAAGTACTACATGACAACTATAAATCCTTATATATGTATACTCATGTTGTTGTACATTTCCCTTTCAGCTGGGTTCAGGAGGCCCGTGGTCATCTTTGGGCCTATTTCTGATGCTGTGAACGACAAACTGGCCACAGATTTACCCGATGAGTTTGTCATTGCAAGTACGTCCCTCTCGTCTGCTCTCTGTGGAACTGGTCTAGTGCAGTGGGACACAGATTCAAATGTGGAATACTTCAAGTAATATTTACTCAATGTTCATTTTGTCCTTTCTCTTAATTGATATTTTATTTTTGCAGAAACTGAGCCCAAAGATGCTGGAAGTGAAAAGTCTTCAGGCGTTGTGAGGCTAAACACCATCCGACAGATCATTGAAGAGGTAAAGAGTGTCTTATATTATTATTATTATTATTGTTATTTTGGTTCTCAAGATCCAATCAGAAAGCAGAATGAAGCTTTCACTTTGTCTGATCTGAACGGTCACTCCCTAAATCCCGGCACATGAGTCATGAGTCAGTGCTAGTGCAGCCTCTGCAGCTCAGGGAGGGAATTCAGGAGCTTTTGAGCTTCATATGAGGCCTGAACATAAACTAAGAAAGAGACAAACTTGTATGTGTCCTCTGTCTGCAGGTTAAGGCTCTGTCACTGTTATGAATGTATAAATACTCCATACTAAATACTTCATACAGAGAAATTAAACCAGCATGTAATGTTAAGTTTGATTTACCAGGTCATGTAATATCACCTTGGTCATGTACGAAATGTGAACAAAAAGTTCTTCTCATCCTCTCAACATGTTAATAACTGTAACATTAAAATGTGATATTTCTATAATCCTTCCACTCTTCACCGTGTAACCTCTTTGGCGTTCAGGACCGGCACGCTCTGCTGGACGTGACTCCCAAAGCCGTGGATACCCTGAACTACACCCAGTGGTACCCCATCGTGGTGTTCCTCAATCCGGACAGCAAACAGGGCGTCAAGACCATGAGGAGCCGCCTGGTACCAGGATCCAACCGCAGCGCCCGCAAGCTCTACGACCAGGCCGTGAGGCTGAAGAAGACCTGCTCTCACCTCTTCACTGGTCTGTCTCCACACATCTCAGAATGCCCACAACTGTGTCCCTCTCACCCAAGCAGTCAAATCAAATATCTGCTGCTGTCTAAATATCTAACTATCTGTGTTGCAGACACCATTGACCTGAACAGTGCCAATGACGCGTGGTACGGCAGTGTGAAGGACTCTATCAGAGAGCAGCAGGACAGAGCTGTGTGGGTGTGTGAGAGCAAGGTGAGCACCTCTCATCCTGAGTTTAGAATGAATCACCCAAACCAGTAACAACTAAAGACATTCAGATGAAAAGAGCATCAAGACTTTTCCTGTTCATACATGTGGGAATGTCACAGTCTTCACTTCTACACTCACATTAACTCACAGTGTCTAAGAGATGATCATTCTTCTAGTGTGCGACCAGCTTTATCAAGTCAAGTCAGTGTGACACAGACAACCACTTTACATCGAGCTTTATATGAAATATGATTTTATATATTTTTTTATATTCATATATTTGTTCTTGTAGCATTGTCACTTTTTCATTTTTCCAATTTCATCATAGTTATTGATTAGACACATGAAAATAGGTTGTTTTCAAAAACTGGAATGTGCTGGATTCAATGGTCAAAGTTTTTGCTCTATCCCTGTTTATTCTCCATATGAGACTTGTAGACATATGACCTCAAATAGACATATTACAGACAGATATTAGAACTCTAGATTAGATTAGAATGTTGTGGTGCCCCCCACACACAACATAAAGTCAAGGTAACCCTTAAAGTCTAACCTCCACCCTGTCTCCAGCTGGAGGGCTCCGAGGAGGACCTGGATCTCCATGACGACCGCATGTCCTACCTGTCGGCCATGAGCGCGGACTACCTGAGCATGGACAGCCGTCTCACCAGTGACTACGATGACACGGCGGACGAGGGCGGGGCTTATACAGACAATGAGCTGGACGAGCCTACGGAGGAGCCACAGCCTGTGTCTGCCATCGGACGCTCCTCTGAGCCTGTACTGCCCGAAGAGGTGAGAGTGCTCACCTTCTCACACACACACACCTGCTCTCACACACACACACCTGCTCACACTCACACTCACACACCCGCTCACACTCACACACCTGCGCACCATAATATGGCTAAATGAATCATCTTTTAAAATGTGATGAAACTGTGGCACAATCAGTTTTTATAGAGAAAACAAAATCACAACAACTTCTACAGTGACTTGCTCTTTTATAAAGAGGGGCATCATGTAAAATCTACTTTGTGGATCTTTCTTCCATGTTATATAATCAAAAACATGCCTGAAGAGGTTTAGATGTCACCCATGCATGTTTAAGTAATCTCTCTCAGGACCTGTTCGAAGCCTCATAACGATTCACAGTATGAGCCTGTACAGTGCTCTGCCCACAAGCCTACATGACCCATGCTCCCACACGACAATTCTCCATAAATATACAAGAGCAGGATAGAAAACAATACACTACAACTTCACAAACTTGTGATGTACAGTCATTTGTTTAGGGATGCTGATTGGGTTGTGATGGTGAGAATGGAGCATAAAAACTAGTGAAAGTCTGAATATAGCATTTTCATAAAATAGTACTTTGAAAATAATCAAATGTAACATGTTCATGTAAATATTCTGTGTGAGCAGTGAATACCCTACAGACATGTCACACCCCCTTCATTTATCAACCAACACAAACCACCCATCCTCCTCCTCCCACACCTCAGTCTCATGCCCCTGTGGGCCCTCTGTGACTGCACTGTTTGTGTGTGTCCTGTGATGTGTTGTGTGTGTCCTGTGATGTGTTTGTGTGTGTCCTGTGATGTGTTTGTGTGTGTCCTGTGATGTGTTTGTGTGTGTCCATGTGTCGTGTGTGTGTGCTGTGTTTGTGTGTGTCCTGTGATGTGTTTGTGTGTGTCCTGTGATGTGTTTGTGTGTGTCCTGTGATGTGTTGTGTGTGTGTCCTGTGATGTGTCTGTTTGTGTGTGTCCTGTGTGTGATGTGTGTGTCCTGTGTGTGTGTGTGTGTCCTTGATGTGTTTGTGTGTGTCCTGTGATGTGTTTGTGTGTGTCCTGTGATGTGTTTGTGTGTGTCCTGTGATGTGTTTGTGTGTGTCCTGTGATGTGTTTGTGTGTGTCCTGTGATGTGTTTGTGTGTGTCCTGTGATGTGTTTGTGTGTGTCCTGTGATGTGTTTGTGTGTGTCCTGTTGTGTGTGTTGTGATGTGTCGTGTGTGTGTGCTGTGTTTGTGTGTGTCCTGTGATGTGTGTGTGTGTGTCCTGTGATGTGTTTGTGTGTGTCCTGTGATGTGTTTGTGTGTGTCCTGTGATGTGTTTGTGTGTGTCCTGTGATGTGTTTTTGTGTGTCCTGTGATGTTTGTGTGTGTCCTGTGATGTGTCGTGTGTGTGTGCTGTGTTTGTGTGTGTCCTGTGATGTGTCGTGTGTGTCCTGTGATGTGTTTGTGTGTGTCCTGTGATGTGTCGTGTGTGTCCTGTGATGTGTTTGTGTGTGTCCTGTGATGTGTTTTGTGTGTCCTGTGATGTTTGTGTGTGTCCTGTGATGTGTCGTGTGTGTGTGCTGTGTTTGTGTGTGTCCTGTGATGTGTCGTGTGTGTCCTGTGATGTGTCGTGTGTGTCCTGTGATGTGTATCCTGTGATGTGTCATGTGTGTGAGTGCTGTGTTTGTGTGCAGCGTCCTGAGCCTCGTGTGCGCATCAAGAAGTCAAGCAGCAGAGAAATGCTCCACAGAGAGCCCAGTCCTCCCCCTTCATTTGTCCCTGAGCCCCCAAAGGTGAGCCCGCACTGTCCTCAGCCTCCTCACACTCTCCTCACACTCTCCTCACACCCACCTCACGCTCTCCTCACACTCTCCTCACACTCTCCTCACACCCTCCTCACACCTCACCTCCTCCCTCACACTCTCCTCACACTCTCCTCACACCACCTCACGCTCTCCTCACACTCTCCTCACACACCTCACCTCTCCTCACACCCTCCTCACACTCTCCTCACACCTCACGCTCTCCTCACGCTCTCCTCACACCCTCCTCACACCCACCTCACGCTCTCCTCACGCTCTCCTCACACCCACCTCACACCCACCTCACGCTCTCCTCACGCTCTCCTCACACCCACCTCACGCTCTCCTCACACCCTCCTCACACTCTCCTCACACCCTCCTCACACCCTCCTCACACTCTCCTCACACTCTCCTCACACCCTCCTCACACCCTCCTCACACTCTCCTCACACTCTCCTCACACCCTCCTCACACTCTCCTCACACCCTCCTCACACCCTCCTCACACTCCTCCTCACCTCCTCACACTCCTCACACCCACCTCACGCTCTCCTCACGCTCTCCTCACACCCTCCTCACACCCTCCTCACGCTCTCCTCACGCTCTCCTCACACCCTCCTCACACCCTCCTCACACTCTCCTCACACTCCTCCTCACACTCTCCTCACGCCCTCCTCACGCCACTCTCCTCAAACTCTCCTCACACTCTCCTCACGCCCTCCTCACACTCTCCTCACACCCTCCTCACACCCTCCTCACACCCTCCTCACACCTCCTCACGCCCTCCTCACAACTCTCCTCACGCCCTCCTCACGCCCTCCTCACGCTCTCCTCACGCTCTCCTCACGCCCTCCTCACGCCCTCCTCACGCCCTCCTCACGCCCTCCTCACGCTCTCCTCACACTCTCCTCACACACTCTCCTCACACCCTCCACCTCATTTCTGCCCATTATTGTTGATATTTTTCTTTAAAGAACCCAGTACCACCACAACAGTCGCCCCAAAGGGATTCCTAAAGATGATGGCTCCTGTATGTAGTAGAAAACGATACTCAACAAACAATAATACAGCTTGGAACTTTTCTGGAAGTGTCTGTATGTTAAAAGTACACACATACAGTGAAAGTAATCCTCTTAAGTAAAGTACACTTGGGTGCAGTGTGTGATGATGTTGTGTGCTCTGTGGTGCAGGTGCGCTCTCAGGGTCGCACAGACTCGTCCCGGAGCTTTGACTCTCACTCCAGCAGCACCATCAGCAGTGACACAGCAGCACAGAGGCCCCTGCCCCCTCCTGTGGCCCTCAAACCCCCCAGCACCCTCCGCCCACTCCAGCCTCCTCCAGAACTCAGCCCCAAGCCTAAGCAGGAGGAGGAAGACCCTGCCAACAAGTCCTTCCTGGGAAAGGTGAGTCATCCTTCTGATCACGTCAAGGACACTGGAGTTTCTATTGGATCTGTTTTACCATTAACAGATGTATGTTATAAACTCAAACTATGTATCAATGTTTCTCAAACTGTGGTACATGTGCCACTGGTAGTACACAGGGCCCTCTGCACTTTGAGTATTTTTTCTATTTACAAACACATCTATTAATGTTTTCTTATTGAATCCAAATGAGTCCATGTTTCGAACGGCCTTATTCATGTTTAGTCTCATTTTAGATCGTCTTTAGCCTGAGTTAGGTCAGGGTTTAGATCTGGTGGAACCCAGAAAGTGAAATATTATTATCTTAGGTAGTACTTGGCGAGAAAAGTTTGAGAACCACTGCTCTAAATGCAGCAACATTATCTCTTGATCATTAATATGCATTTGAAAGCTCATAAATCAGTAGGGCACATTCCAAGGCCTGGCTGCATTTTTCTTAATACCTGATCTGTACACTGTGACTGTAAATACATGGACATAAAACAAGGAATTCAATGCCAAAAGTTATTTTAAAAAATTAGATATTTACTGTTAGAATCGAGTTGATGTGTGCCTGTTCCAGATGGGAATACTGGGAATACTGGGTTTTGGGGATTAGAATCCTGATCTCCAGTCCATCTGCCTCGACCACTGTTCTGTTTGGTTGTGTGCTGGGATCCTGTGGTAACTTCCTGCTGTGTTTCCTCTTCTTCTTTGCTTCTCACACTAGAGGTGTTCGAATCACCAGGTAAACATGTGGACTGTGGAACATGCTCATTATCCGTCTGTTTGGTTTCCATTCACTGTCCCGTCATGTCATGTCCTCATCAGGCTCCAAGGAAGGAAACACCAGAGTCTTGCACTGAACCTTATGACCCTTTTAAACTGCAACTGTGCAATAAGTCACACAAATAAATGACACTATAAAGACTTTTTAGCTCACTGTTCATTGTACCACAGCAGCCCTTTGCCTAAATACTTTGCTCATGAATCATGACATCACATGACCCTCTGTGTGAGTCAGTCCTGACCTGTACTGACCCAAGTTTGTTTTGGCTGCAGATCCAGGCCTTTGAGAAGATGGACCACTTGGCTCGAGCTCAGAGACTTCTGGAGCTGCAGGAGGCAGAGAACGCACGGGTGAGTGCTCCAGTTATCTACAGCAGCTGCTCCTTTGCAGTACTGGGATATATTTTAAAATGGGGCCGCTCAAGAAAATACTGACACATATGTATGAAGTGTGGTTATATTAGATGTGCTGTTGCCAGAGTTTTAATCAAGAGGTCATGTCTAATGGTCAGTGATGAGCTTGAGTCTTGTCACTGGAGAGTCTGTCAGTGAAAGCACACAGTATGGAGCAGAATTTGAAGGAAGAACTTGATTTTTGGGTTAAATGACACTGATTAAAGATGTACCGTATTTTCCGGGCTATTAGTCGCTCTGGATTATAAGACTCACTGTCATTAAATGGTCTATTTTCGAACTTTTTTCATAAGTAAACCACACTGCACTTTAAAGGAAACACAACAGTGTGATGTGTGAGTGGTTTTGTTTGTTTGTTCGTTCACGGTGACTCTGGGCTTTGTTCAGTTGTGGCGTGTAGGGAGGATGCTGTCTGGGACCAACGGATTGTCGGCGTGTTCACAGTGACTCAGTTGTTCAGTCGTGTCTAGAAGTGACACATTGCAGTCGTCGCTTTTTCGGTTCGTTCCTCCGTTCCTCGTCGGCGTGGAGTGATGAGTGTGTCTGTGGGTGTGTGTCGCTGTGCGGTCGCTGTCTGCTCCGTGTGTGTTTGTGTGTTCTGTGGGTGCTGCGGCTTTGTAGTTTACTGAAGTCGTGCTGGGACACCCCAGTGGATTCGTGTATAGGGCGCTCTGGATTGCGGAACGCGCAGTCGTTTTTTGATGCAGTTGGAGGCTTAAGAGCGCGTCCTATAGCCCAGAAAATATGGTATATTGTTTTTGGTCATGAAATCAACATACTGAAAGTCATGTTTTTATGCTTTTGAGTAGAAACCATAGAGACTGATCAATATGATAAAAATAACACTGTGATTTGTTAGCTCATCAGTAATTACTGTCCAAAATATTTACAAAATCCTCAGGCTTTGAAATCCGCTACTGTGACCCATTTAAAACTTGTACAGCAAGAGGAATGAGTGTGAAGGGAAAAACACAACAGCTCTGTGCACTGGGATCTGGGCACACGATTTCCTAATAGCAAGCTTCATAACACATTTAAACTGGCCCAGAAAAAGGGGGTGAACCTGGGGACCCTCCATAAGAGAGCCAGCTCTGAACATGTGTACTAGTGTCCCTCCTGACCCTGTCCTCGTGACAGTTTGTGATGTTTGTGTTTCTGTGTTTTCAGCTGGAGATCGCTCAGAAGCACCCAGACATCTACGCCATCCCTGTGAAGCCCAAACCCAACGTGAGCCGGCCTCAGCCCATCGGGTCAGTCTGTGCACGGTTTTAACTCTGTTTAACTAGACTTCTACTAGTGGATGTGCACATTTCAACTGGACTCACACGCAGACACATGAGTGACGCAGGAGAGGATAGGCGAGTTTCAGCTGACGTCATTGTTATTAAAAGCCCGTGTTGCATGCTGGGAAATATTTTGGTCGGAGGCAAGAAACACGGTAGCATCAAACACAGTGTGTAACCTCGCGTATTTATCCCTGATAATGGTAAATTCCTGCTGCATTATCGGATGCACAAATAGAAGCACGGAAGAAGGAAAATGTCTATTCTGAGTGAAAAGAACCACTAACGGTGAATTAAACGACTTTCAAACATTCGCAGAGCAAACGTAGAAGATCCTAACAAACCGTGGACTCAACAAGTTCAACAACACATCAAGACTCTTGGAGGTTTTCATCTTTTCTGCTGTGAATGACCCAGGAGTTTCCACCAAGTCATTGTGGATATCGCCAAAGTGAATATTTGTCCAGGTAGTTGGTGATTCTGACTAGAAATTTGGTTTGGTCCACCTTTTGTCGGGGTTGAAAAGGGTGATTTGGCTCCATCGATGTTTATGACCAATTTCTGGTCAAATGGTCTTGGGTCCTCTGCCGTTAGAGTGGATAAATAACCGGGATCAATACCCTTTACCTGCTTTCTCACTCCGTCCGTCATGTTGAATTAGTTGTATTGCCACTGACCAAAATAATTCCCAGCATGCAACGCACGCTTTTGTCAACAATGAAACTCACCTGTTGAGTGGATAAACAGGGACGTAGGAAGACTTGTCTTGATCTGGTGCTGGGTAAGAGCTGAAGTGACTGAAGACGTGGGTGGTTCTGCTGCGGTGGAGACGGGGTGTAGTTTGGGGGATATAGTTTTACATGTGCACTAAGAGCCTGCTGCCACCTGCTGGTCTCATGGAAATGTGCCACTTTCCTTTAAATGCCCCGGTGTAGTTTAAACTCTCTTTCATTCAGTGGTTAGAGGTGTTTTTTAATAATAAATAAATACTTTGGTAGTGTCTATTGCTTGTCTCCATGGTGATAGGATACATTTTCTTTCATCCCTCCTGACCTCCAGAGTGCAGTGTTGTAAGCACTCCCTTCATGTATGTGCCGTGAGCCCCATCCTCTGGCAGTGATCCGGGATTCATCCAAAACCATAGTTACATTTAGAACTCTTTTCAGGCTGTTCTGTAGAACATTTCAAGCAAAGCAATAACATCTCCATGGAGACGGGATAGTTTCAGAGCCTGCACTAGAAAAATGACATAATGCACCTTTAACGTGAGGAGGATGAGGGGAGAGAGAATGCATTTGTTCAGAGGTCTCAGGCATAAGGATTCCAATCTGATTTGAAGGTCCCCACACAATCCTACAAACGAAAAACCCGAAAAAAAACCTGTAAGGAATCATTTGCCTGAAACCGTGCCTGGTTGGAGGATTGACGTTCCGCTCGTCCAATCTCCTTCCTCCTACACATCCATCACCTCATCCAATAAAAGTGCTGTGCGTTGGTCCCTCCTCACGCTCCAGTTCAGTTTCAGTTGGTCGCTCTCATTGATAGACGTTTCTCTGGTTGACTTGTGAACTGTGACTCTAGAGGTCCTTAGTGACCAGGGTTGGGAAGGTGACTTTTAAAATGTTTTCCCCTACAGATTACAGATTACATATCCCAAAATGTAGTTTGTAACATAATCCATTAAAGGTACTTAAAGTGAGTAATGTAATCTGAATACTTTGGATTACTTGATATTGTCATGCTTTTTAAAACTACATGAATGTAACAAACACATCCTGAAAATTCATGTTTGTTCTCTTCAAATTGTCTGTTGAGCCCAAGTCTCCATGAACAGGTATTTCTTTCCTGTAGAGAAGCAAAAACTAGGATATTTTAACATAAGAAGTTTTGTCTGCTAAAAGAAAATAAAAAGCCCAGTCTTTACTTAACCCTATTAAAAATATTATTGATATAGAAATGCTTTTTATGAGATCACTGCTGCCTTCAATTATGTCCACCTACTGTTAGATGTCATATTGTTTAGACTAGGTTTAGTCCTGCTTTTAGTCCTGGTTTTAGACCTGGTTTAGTCCTGGTTTTAGTCCTGGTTTTAGACCTCATTTAGTCCTGGTTTTAGTTCTAGTTTAGTCCTGGTTTAGTCCTGCTTTTAGACCTGGTTTAGTCCTGCTTTTAGTCCTCGTTTTAGTCCTGGTTTAGTCCTGCTTTTAGTCCTCGTTTTAGACCTGGTTTAGTCCTGGTTTAAGTTCTGCTTTTAGACCTGCTTTTAGACCTGGTTTAGTCCTGGTTTTATTCCTGGTTTAGTCCAAAATGGGAAAATACCGCCTGTGTAATCCATTTATTTCAACAAAGTAACTGTAATCCAATTACCACTCATGAAAACAGTAACTGTAACTGAATACAGTTACTCATCATTTGTACTCCATTACTCCCCAACACTGTTAGTGACCGATTAGTTTGTTTGCTGGTTTGGCTCGGCCTTGTGCATTTGTATTTTCTTTAATTTACACTTATCCAATTAGAGGTATTGTTTAGCTCGATTTGGAAAGTTTGATTTATTTTATGACAAACATCTCTTTTTCTGTTGTTATACTTGCGTTTACTTTATAAAAGCCACTTATATTACATCACATCTTGTTCGTGTTACTTTCCTTTGTCCCTAGCACTGGTTTGTAACGGCGCACGTACGTCTTCTTCTCTTGCGTTTGAACAGATCCAGCTCCAACCCCGACTCACACACCTCCCCCCGACCCTCCTACTCTGAAGACGACGAGGCCGAGTACCGCCGACAGCTCAGCCAGCAGGACAGGAGGGGCTACTACAACACGGGGAAGTACAAGGACACCGAGCTCTGAGTACACACTACTACTGCGCAGTACTACACGGCCAAGTACTCGAGCACAATACAGCAGCGTCCAATCTGTGTGTCACTGCGCAGAAACAGACTCAACGATTCCACGTGTACAGCAGATGTCTTCACTTCACATTCCACTGTGGACCAAAGTGCCTCAAAGAACTCTCCACTGGGCTTCGACCAAACATCTCCAAACATCTTCAAACATCTCAGCGGACACTGGGACTGTGGCTCTGCTTTTTCAAACAACACTGCAGTTTGTCAGGGTTTTGGACTGGCACAAACACAGTCTGTTGATGCTGTATTAGGAAGGTCAGTTAGAAAGAAAATAATCCTGAAATGAGGGGATATTGCTGTAAATAGAACTCTAGACTGTTAACAGGTGAAAGTGCTTTTCAGGCTCTAATTGAACCTGTGAATGACCACTGTATTTTAAAGTTAAAACATGGGAAATGACTTAAAGGAGCAATATGTAACTGGTCCAGGAGATGCTCTGCTACCTGCTTGTCTCCATAAAGATGTGATTGCTTTGCCTGGAGTGTTCCTGTATGACAGTTCACTCTTCGCTCTTGGATTACACAATTTAGGCTTGTCCTAGAGAATCAGACACTAATCAGTACTAAAATAATATCAAAACTAGATGTTCATTGACAGGACAAGATTTGAGATTTCCTTGACAGGTGTAGTGTGATTTTAAGCTGTATCAGAACACATTTAACACCTTGTAAGATAAAGAAACTGTATTATTATTTTGTGTTGAAAATAATTCTTTATGGTAATGTAATCAGTATCAAGTTCTGAGTCTGAGTTTGCAATTGGAGTTTTGTGACACACTAATACAATTACAGTGGAACATTCCAGGCAAAGCTGACACATCTCAAGCAGGCGATGGACCTTCAACCTTAAAAGTTCCATAATGTACCTTTAAGTGTCCACATTTCTCACGAGTTGCGTTGGTCCTGCTGTCACATTCCACTCCTCACCAGTGTATCTATTTAAACCCTGAGACAATCATGTTTGATTCTGACTGTGGGAGTCACTGTGACGTCTTCAAACGTCCTGTGATTCTCCTGAGCTCTGCACACTGTGGCAAATAAATACATGTTTTTTACCTCGGCTATGTCTCTGTGTGTGTGTGTGTGTGTGTGTGTGTCTGTCTGTCTCTCTGTCTGTCTCAAGTTTATACAAATAAGAATGAGGACATTTTAGGGAGAACTTGAGTGACTTGAGCAAAAGTTATGGTTCCTTGTCCCACTGTGGTCTCGTCCTGTTCCAGTGCTGGTCCTGGTTTAGTCCTGGCAGGAGGGAAAGAAAATCTATGATGTCACTGTCTGGTGTCAATAAGTGGAAATAATTGTGAAATGGTGATGTTACTTCACACAGCAGCAGTGATTCACTGTCAGCGGTCCAGCTCCAGCTGAGGGCTCACACATACTCAGTCATATTGTACACTACACTGCCCTCTACAGTCTCCAGAATGCATTACAACACCTACAGACAACTACACTGCTAATAAAATGTGTTTGAACAGTAGGAGCACTGGCCAACAGGGCCAAAAACAAAAAAATCTAATCTCAATTCTTTTGGATGTCTTCCAAACAGGAGATTCTTAAAGCATTTTCATTCTCAGTCATGTCTTTTCATTGTCATATTTATTTGTGGATTTGTACATGCACGCCTCATTAGTCTCTGCAGCTTTATACAGTTTGGTCATATAGGTCCATACTCAATACATTCAGAGTAGACGGCTAACAGACACACAAAAGAATGTCCCCTCAGAAGTCCCACGGTGAGGTACTGAGTGAGGTACTGGGGCCCTCAGATGTAGACGGGCTGCTCCTGTGCAGTGAGCAGGCGGTACATGGCAGCGGGCATCGTCTTCATGTGGATCTGTGAAGATCAAGAGGACCATAATACATACTGCAATACTGCCCCCTACTGACTTATGGACGTCTGTGCATTCAACACTCAGCACCAAATAAGGTCTAAATGATTAAACAACTTTAAATATTTACACTAACATCTTACTGGAGTGATATTTTAATGAACTGCACCTCTGGGTACTTTCCAGGCCCCATACACATACTCTTATTTTGTACAGCATAGCACAGTACTTGAGTAAAGGTTTTGGTTACTCTTCCCACTGTGGTATAGCCCCCGTCCAGTACTGGTTAGGTCCTGGTTTAATCCTGGTTTAATCCTGGTTTAGTCCTGGTTTAGTACTAGTCTTGTCCTGGTTTAGTCCTGGGTTCAGTCCAGGTTTGTCCTGGTTTAGTCCTGGTTCAGTCCTGGTTTAGACCTGGTTTAGTCCTGGGTTAGTCCTAGTCCACTCCTGGTTTAGACCTGGTTTAGTCCTGGTTTAGTCCTGGTTTAGTCCTGGTTTAGTCCTGGTTTAGTCCTGG